GCAGATGACCTGGCCTCCACAGTCACCGGACCTGAACCCAATCGAGATGGTTTGGGGTGAGCTGGACCGCAGAGTGAAGGCAAAGGGGCCAACAAGTGCTAAACACCTCTGGGAACTCCTTCAAGACTGTTGGAAAACCATTTCAGGTGACTACCTCTTGAAGCTCATGGAGAGAATGCCAAGAGTGTGCAAAGCAGTAATCAGAGCAAAGGGTGGCTATTTTGAAGAAACTAGAATATAAAACATGTTTTCAGTTATTTCACCTTTTTTTGTTTAGTACATAACTCCACATGTGTTCATTCATAGTTTTGATGCCTTCAGTGAGAATCTACAATGTAAATAGTCATGAAAATAAAGAAAACGCATTGAATGAGAAGGTGTGTCCAAACTTTTGGCCTGTACTGTATATACATTTACAGTAACTAAAAATGGATACTGCTGATTTGGTTTTAAATATAGGAAAGTACATAGTGGTTATTATCTTGCATCAATTTTCCAGGCGTCAATGGCCCCAATTCATCTAACAAAGAATTTAAGCCTTTCAGTTACAGAAATGTCACATTTTAAACACTTAAAAAGATGCTATGGAGATGCATTATGGGAAGTGTAGGATCCAGTGTTGCTTGACATAAACTAGAGGCTGAAACGTCAGGATATCTCAACCTGTGTTGCATTGATTTTGACCTTCTTTTTTGCTCTTGCAAGCCGCCCAGATGAGCGGATGTCTATTACTTAGCAGTTTCACTTCCATGTAGTTATCCTGAGAAAATTGCACTAGGTGATTTTGCACTTAAAGTTTTGTTTTGCATTTAATGAGACGAAGGGAGCAAACACGTCACAAGACACTGGGGAATTACAGATAACAAATGAATCATCACATATAATCAGCAAAAGCTTTATTACAGTGTAGTTGCAGATTATTTTTTCTACAGTGATACAAAGAATAAATTATATTAACACAAAAATAAACAGTCATTTTAATTTCAATTTGAATGTTTTATTCACAAAACCTGTGTTTTGTACATAAAACCTGCAATTTTTTTTGCCCTGCAGTATGACAGTAAATAATTTATCTAATAAGATCAAGTTTCTATAACTGAATATGTGTAGTTTTGGCCAGAATACTACATCAAGGATAAGGCAACATGGAAAAGCTCCCTTTAAGCAACTTCCCAGCGCAGACCACATTTTTGCTGCATGACAAGAAGGGAGATGCATCTAGCAAAACTGGATCAACTCTTTCATGCTGCATCCTTCCTGACAACAAATATCAGATATTTTCCCAGCAGCACGTCTCATCCGGGAGGACAAGGGGTACCAGTGAGGAGCCAGCGATACAACATCCTCTTGAGGGACGTGGACCATCTCCATAGCCTGGTGCTCCTCTGTGGAGGCGTCCTGGTCCCCTGTGCAGAGGAGGTGGAAAGACACCTGGGATTTAGAGAGCCTTGGAAATTTGTAGTTTTGTGCTTAAATACTCTAGATAGAGAGTTAACTCAAACAAGACATGATATTTATTAAATACAATTTAAAAAGCAAATAAAAAGGCTAGTATGTGTCATATATTTCTTTATCAGGGGACAGATATTCAAAAAGAAAAGTGAGGTTCCTGCCGCAGAAGACTTCTCAACTTTGTCTCCAAATGTTTAAAATGTAAAATATATCTCATCTTTATCCACAAAAACAGGTTTAAGTAAGCAATAGTTCTCAATCAAAGCACCTGATGTTTGAAAATGTAACATACTCACAGTGAGAGGTGTACTGCCCCAGTTCCACGTCCGGGATGCTTCTCCTCAGCCGAGAGTTACCGCAGGACGAGACGGCCAGACGTATCAGCTCTCTCCCACACATCTTAATCCTCTCCTGTGCATGAACCACACACACTGCAGCCACCAGCACCACCATCAGAGACACCAGACACTTCACAGCAGACATCGTATGGTTGTTTTTGCTCCTCAGCTGGTCGGAGGAGAGAGGAACCAAATGGACTGGTAGATGAGAGAGAGAGATGAGGATGTGACTTGTGTGGTGAACTTAAGGGGGTTTATATAGTCAGTGTATCAATGTAAAAAAAACGCTGAGGCCACAGTCTTCGAAAAGATGTATTCGGCCTTGGTGAAGGAAAAGCATGTCCTGATCTTGAGCTCAACATGAGAGTGATGCGAAGTCTTCTCAAGGCTGAGACTCTCATTGAGATAAAAATCTGGCTCTGGTCTTAAAAACATTAGAGATATTAAAGGTACACTATTCAGGATTTTCCTAAAGAATAGACTCTGTGTTTGGGATGTTCCTTGGCACAGCACATAGGTGAGGTCGGGACTTAATAAAAAGACAAGATACACAAGCACACAGAGAAACAATGTTTTTACTGTTTCAAATCACCTCGGGTCTCATTTATAAAACAGTGCGCAGGATCCATATCAAAAATAAACGTACGGACCAAAGCCAAAAATGGCGTGCGCCTAAAAATATTCAACAATTTCTACAATGAGGCTTCTACCTCACCATCTGCGTCGCCAATTTCCTGTCTCCAAAATGTTCGGAAGCATGGGTCAAACTCTCTCCTATCAAGACTGTTTTTATAGATCACAACTTTTCCCGTGGGAAGTACCGTACGCCTCTTTCAGGTCTTGTTTTGTGCGTACACAATGTAAACAAATGAGACCCCTGATCCAAACACCGAAGAAATCCGAACAAGGAGAGGTGTCAGTTGGTTGCAATCTGCAATCGTCACCACAAGATCCCACTAAATCCCCCTAAGTCTTACACACTCGACCTATTAGTGGGAAAGATTGTGAATGGTTTCTTAATGTGTTTATTTAATTATCATCCCCAAATCCCTGTTTTGCTCACAGCATTTCCAAATGTTTGTTTGGAAATGTCATAACTTATGTTATTAAAGTGAACTTTTTTCCTTGAGTATGATTTGTTTCTGCACCTTATCTTGACACATCTTGAGGGACGGGAGCTAATTGGAACAGAGTGTGACTGGCAAAGAGATTTCAAGGATATTGACGCAACTGTTCACACATGGTCACCCCAGGATGTTCTGATAACAGTTTCATATTTACAGTACTGATGAAAAATATGAAAGGTAGCACTTTTGCATCATTGCTGTACTTCGGGCCATGCTAGGCATTGTCACCTCTAATGACGGTATTCTTCACTGGTAAACAGTGGTTGGCACATTACAGAGTAGGATAGTGAACTGAAAGCACCAGTCTTACTTGTTTATTATTTTGACCTCACCAGTTTTCATTTTGTATTTCTTTGGGAGTTGTTAAAGTTGATGTTGTTCATTTACTTTGCCTTTGGAGACAATGCAGGCAGATATTACAGATGTTAAACTGATGAAACTGGTCACAATGGACTGAGCCATCTATGCCTCATTGTTTCCTGGTTTGTTACAGAAATTGATATTTCATTTGTTTTTTGGCTCCCAAAATATTCTGTGCGTTCCAGTACCCACACTACCATACTATATAGTATGCAGGAAAAGTTTTAGTAAGTCCCAAGCCAACATGCTTTTTACAGGCAGCTGCAGTACCTACTGAAAAGGTGTGCAATTCGGAATGCACCCATAGTCTTGTTTGACACTTCAAGGCCACCATAATGACAGATGTAAAAGTAGTCATACCAGAGACCATCAATAAACCAAGATAGCCCTCTTTAGATTCATTCCCTGTATCTCTGTGACACAGGTTTCACCACTGCCCTGCCCCTTTAGGAGACTAGGTCCTGAGTCTATTCATTTCAGCTCAGATAAAATAACAGTACGCTACCTGCCCAGCAACAACACAAAGAGAACATCAGCTTATAAACACAGTGGAGAATTTAGCAGCTGGAGTCTGATATTTCCCTGAGGAGGTGGAGGAGACCAAAACAGAGCTGAGAGCAGAGTAAATACTGGACTTGGATTTGACTCCAAATAAATGCTAATGTTGCTGTGTGTCTGCTACCTATTTGAATACTCCAAACATTCTCACTAGGCCCGTTTCCACTGAAGAAGTTCCTAGTACTATTTGGGAGGCAGGAACTACTACAGGAACGTCCTCTTGCTCGGCCCTCTCAACCGCCGTGTCTCCACTGAGAGTGGAGTACAAAGAAGGTTCCTGTAAAGTTACAGGCTCTGGATGTGACGTAATCGTTGCGTGACGTAGGGACGCCGTTAGCTGTTAGCCCATAGCGGTGTCTGTAATAACCTAATAACTCACTAAATGGCCCGTGAAAAAAAATATTTTTTCCAGCGGATGTCTTAGTTACAACATGATTGAGCTAACTGGAGTAGTTTCATGTCATATCCAACAACGGGAGGCTTTCAACAGATGACGTCCTGATGTTAGCTTTGCTGCTGTTAGCTGTCCCTGTCAGCTGCAGCTACTGATGCTTTCTAGACATCGTGATTTCCCAAAACTGAATACATAC